CCCGGGAAGTCGGTCCATACGAGCGTAACCTTCAAGGTCAGTGCTGCGGGGCTACCTTGCGGAATGTCAACCGTGACAGCATGTTCGCCCCGGTGTCGGCCGTCCATGCCGAGGGACTGGTCGCCCGTGACGTCCTGGAACCCGTAGACGGCACTCTCCTGGTTGGCGACAATGTTTCGAAGGGAGTTGGCCAAGTTGACGCGGCCGAAGCCAGAGCTGGGGTTGGGCGCATCCACGGACGGCCCAAACTCCCCGTTGGGCAGGGCCTGGCTGTACTGTCCCTTCATAGGCACCGCGCCGTTGATCAGCAGGGCCTTGATGAGCGCGGCGGATGGCCGGGGCACATGGTTATCAACAAGAGCCCCACGAATCACGGCGCAGCAGCCGGCAACAAGGGGCGTGGCCATGCTCGTGCCGCCCTCATACATCCACCTGACATCGTTGCTGTGTCCCCAAGATTCGCCGTGGTGTCCCGGCACAATCTGGCTGGAGCGGGCCGACAGGATGGTGGTGCCGGGAGCGACGACGTCGGGCTTGATCCGGCCATCGGGCCGAGTGGGGCCGCGGCTACTAAATGCGGCCATGCCCTCCGGATTGTCAGCCACATTGTCGACCGAGATGGGCCCGAAGGGGAAACTGTTGCGCCAGGCGCCGTAGACGAGCGGCTTGTTTCCCGCTACGGGGCTCTTGACGTTCGGTCGATTGTTCTCGGATGCGCCGACGGTGATGACGTTCTTAGAAACGGCCTGGGCCGACAGCGAATGGGGGTCGACGTGGCCGCGGTTGCGGTCGATGTCGACTCCCGAGTTGCCCGCAGCGAAGAGCACCGTCATGTCCTTGTTTCCCCAGAGGTAGCTGTCGATCCTGGCCGACTCCCGCTCGACATAGGGCTGAGGTGGTCCGCCCCAGGAGTTGGTATGGATCGTAGCCCCCTCCCGGAAGACGCCGTCGAAGAGGTCGGGGTAGTTGTTGCCAATCCCGCCCAGCCCAGCATTCCATGACTGCGGGTTTGGACCCCGACTCTTGTCGAACTTATCAAAGAGGGACTGCATGATGAGTCTGGCCTCGGAAGCTGGGGCCTCAATCTCGCCCTCTTCAGCATGATTCCCTTTACCCAGCACGGAGCCGCAAACATGGGTACCGTGGCCGTCTGGATCGTCCGACTTCTCAGGCTCACCCCTGGCGGCAGGGCGACCCCTAGCATGGAGAGAAATGACGCGGTCACCGAACGCTTCGTGGTATCCCGCCAGCGAACCTGTATCAAACCCAGTGTCCGCTACGCACACGACCTGTCCTTTGCCTTTATAGGTGGTGTTGGCCGTGCCAACGGGCGTGTGGGCTTCGAGAATGCCGCAAGCAACATTGTTGAAGATGCGGCGAGTGTGCACCTCGTTGATGGCCTTGACTTCGTCGATGCGGGCGAGCTGGGCCAGCTTGGATTTGGGCACCCTGAGGCAAGCCTTGCGGTCATGAACCTCGACGTTTGTAACCGGAATGTCCGCCTGGGCAGCAATATCATTGGCCACGCGGCTCATATCTTCATCGCCGATGTCGTCGTGAAGGCCGACTTCCACCTCGGCTTCGTCATCATCGTTGCCCGCCTTGAGGTCTGGCTCAACCACATAATCCGGGTGATAGACCTCGGCGTCAGTGACGAAGTCGCTGAGGTTGCTGGTCAGAGGCTCCAACGTAGTAGGCTTGTAGCCGCATAGGTAGACATCCTCACCCTTGTACTCCAGAATCTCGACTTCCTTGTCCCGAAGTGCTTGTTTCTGCTGCGCGTTAAGGGGGCCCCGGGTTTGGATTAGGATGTAATTGGAATTAGCTACATCGGGTGGCGGTACTGCGAAAGCGTTGTGAGACGCGGTGCTGGCAGCTCCTGCGTCTGGGCGTGAGTTGCCGTTAATCTGGATGCGATGCATGTTGACGGTGAGGATTGTCCTACAAGCTGAAAAACCGTAGGGGGGCTGGAGAAAGAGCCGTGGAAGGATATTTGATTTATAGCCAGTAATCAGTTGGTATTTCTTTTAAGAAAGAGCAGTGAAGAGGGCCTTTTTTAAGCTGGGAGTCTTTGGCTACTGAACAACACATATAGCCTTTATTTATATTCTTAGACGTCTGCTAGCCTAATAGTATGCTTACGTAGCTCCCAGTCAGAATTTTGATTTGCATCTCATTTTCATAAGGCTTGACGCCCTATGTACGACAACGAATCTGGGCTCTGCTTGATAGATTTCAGCTTGGCTGTGCCAAGGCAGAGATCGCATCTGCATTCCCTATTAAGTGCCCTTTGTCGTTGCATGTGGGCTGTGACAGCCCAAACTTTTGTTTCAATGCCACGATTAGCTTGGTAGTATTATTTCTGGTGGTGAGAGCGTTTCCATTAGTTGCCTCCAATAGTCTACTTGAGGCGTCGGGGGGCGTCCTCGCAAGACATGCATATATATAGAGCTGAACTGTAATCGCCACCATTCATTCGCTCGGTTTGAATGATAGGGCAGCTGAATTGCAAGCCACCATTCCTGCAGCACTAATACGGCGGTTGACCCCGACGTTGACCGAAAACGGTGTTTTTTCGTGGGGCTGAAATTGGGAGCTGTCTGATTCGACTCAGGAAGATGTGGTCATTCGGAGCAGTATTCCTTTCGATCTCAAGGCTGGTGTAAAATGAACGGGTAGAGCGCGAGTAAGATCTATTTCTCCGAGGACACTCAGCCACGATTAACTAGTTGTTTTCATATTGCAGTGGTCTCAGACCCTCCCGAATTGGACCCTCCATAACACGGGCATCACCATCCGGGCTTCCACAGCCTATGGCAGCAGTAAATGGTAACAGCTACACGAAAGATTCAGAGAATAGCGGGTCGAAAACATAAGTATCAAGGCGACTGGTTGTGGAGTGAACTCGCTGCCAACGGCTGGGACTAGCCGCCGAAATAATGTTTTACTTCACATTTCAACTAGCTTTGAGGATCAATGACAAGTGTAATGATTCATGTAGAGGGGCCAATAACCGCGGGATGAGACTTGGCTTAATCTTCTAGGTCTAGTTGGTGGCGTCTAAAATCGTGGCTTTCGAAATGCTTGCATCGACAGGCCGTGATTGCTAGCTATAATCCGTGTGAAGTAAGTTTCCGGGCCGCCGTGCGGCAGAAACCACGCGTGAAAGAGATTCAACATTTATCATAGTGAGCCTTGAACTCACAATTTCACCTCCAGAGTGGCGTTTTTTGTTCTCTGTGGCATGTACAAGTTATAGGTTGTTGGTCGTGGTGACCATCTAGCTGAGTAGATAGAGAAGTGACTCACTCCTTTTCAGTAATTCTTCCATTCTGGGTGGCGTTAATATGTGCTAGTAACTGCCGACATGGCGCCAGCCTCTCAACACTTCTTCATTTCTAACAAGGTTGTCCACAGACCCGGGCGGCAGGCAAGGCGCTCCGTAAAAGCGACCGGTATTACGCACAGAGTGAGCTGTCAAACAAGCCTCTCACCAAAGCCACGTTTCCCCTCACAGTACAGAGTAAAAGTATGGAGTTACGGAAGGGTGTGTAGCCAGGGCTGAACAAGCCGTGGTGGCGCCATACTGCAGTGAAACATTGGTCATTTGCTATGGAGCCGGCCCAATCATCCTCGGTTCGAAGGAGAGTTCTCATGTTCAATCACTGTCGTAAGCAGCCCCGAAATTTGACGGGCGCCTCTAGCGCTGCTAGTTCCGATGTTGTTTTGAAGAATACGGCGGCGTTGCATTTCTTTTTGATTCAGAGCCGGTAATGGATTTTCCACATGTTGCCTTTTTTAGCTTTAATTTGGATAAGATCAGTCGCTTGCGCAGCAGACTTTAAATACTACAGCGGGCAAGGACTGCGATGCGTGTATTAGAAGAAGGACCTTTGCCCCATGTATTTTTCGTCGTCATGCAATACCGTACGCAAGTAGGCCCTGGGTACCAAAGATGGTATCATGGTGCAAGAAATGAAGTCATAAATTAAAGCCCATCTACCCGCCTAATTGTTCTTAACCGCATGTGAATTGAGATTGTTTGTACGGAGGGAAGGGAACGGATGAGGTTCTACTATGTTCAAGGAAATACCTGGAATGAGAATGAACTTGAAGATTAACGAAGGAATAAAAAGAATAGCTGATAAAATAGGGATAATAAGACAAAGGAATTATTATCCAAATGTCATGCTTAATAGTATTAATGTCGTGAGGCGAGCCAAAAGGGCACATCTGTAAACTATATACTGGGGATATTTGGCCGAGGTTGCAGAGCTTTTTTGCTTCGTGACTCTTGTGTTTCAACCCAATACCCTTTGTAATATGCCCAAGTTTCTCAGAGCGCAGCATTACATTCTATATCAGCTTGCAGAGGCTAATTTCTACCTCCTGTTTCGTACATCTCTGGACGATGGAACACACTTGATGGGCAAGTTTGAGTGCAAAATGGCATATTGATATGTGCTCAAACTCAGTTCACAGCACAGAATACCTGATAATAACAGAATCTTCATGGCAAAGGATGAGAAACCTTCGATGACTATTAACCAATCATTCAGAGTGCGTAGAGAAAAAAACGAGGCGGTGCGGTGAAGTAGAACTGGACAGGAGAGAGTGTAAAATTCTACCGAGAAACACGAAAAAAAGAGCAAAAGGAACAGAATTACGCTTGTTCAATTTTACCTCTGGCCAAAGTTCAATTATCACACAAATACTGAACATCAAAAGAACTCTTTGTCTACCATGTTCGTCTTCATGGATCCAGAATCACAAGCCTGAACGTTGTTCATTACAAGTCAGTCCTCAACCCCCGAACAACAAAAGAACAATCAAATTAGTTGAGATTCTCTGGTGTTCAGTGCAGGTTGAAATTACTATTTGATCCGTAGCTTCCCCCGCTCAATTACGACTAAGGAATCACCATCCTCCACCATCCAAAATTTCTCAAGTATTCTACCCCTTCTTCCCTATCGGTTTAGGTCAGAACAAGGCACGCCAAGATGACTCCAGACGAGATCATCACAGCCGCCAACGCAAGGATTTCTCAGCAGGAGCACGAGATCGCTAGGCTCAAGGGTAACGTGAAGAGTCTAGCCACTGCACTCAACGACGTCGGTTCTCTCTTTGAAGCCCAAACTAAAGGACGATACCAGGCTACGCAGGAAGTAGAATGCCTCCGGGGCCAAGTTAGTTTTCTTGAGAGATACATCGCCTTCATTGATGAAAAGTACTCAGCCATCACTCGAGAAGCAACGGCTCACTTTCAACACCAGTTGGCTGCCGCAAATTGGTCTACTTATCAATGGAGCCAAGACGCGGCCTCTTACAGCTTGGCGACGAGAGCCCTCCAAGAGAAGCTAGCGGCCAAAAGTAAAGAGGAAAACGCAAGTGAGAAGGAGATTCAGGAGATGCTTGACAAGTACACTGCAATGCAAGCAACCGTGTTGAAGACGGAAATGGAAAAAGAAAACGCCGAGCGCGATTTGCAGGAAACTGAGCGCCAACTAGCCAAAGCCAACAAAGCGACCCAAGACCTGATGAGGGATCATGAAGAAGTGACGTCGAAGCTACTCAGCCAGAACAAGTTCCTTGATGCTCAAAAACGGAAAAAGACAAGAGAGGCCGCTCAAGCTCGAGAACAAGTTACCAGAGAAAGAAATGTTGCTGAGCAGCAGCTGAAGGAAACAGAGGAAATGATAAAAAAGAGCCGCAAGCTCGAGAAACGGTTGGCCGAAAAGGTCAAAAAGCAAGAGAAGCTTCGACATGAATGCGACACCATTTTCAACGAAGCCAAGGCGATTCGCCAATCGAGATTGCTACAAATCAAAAGACGCAAAGCAATCCAAGCTTATACAGAGTCTCAGGGATCAAGTGGCAAGCTTGGAATCGGCCGAGAGGACGAATGCCTACACCAAGGCCGTCGAAGATTTAAGCATGGAAGTGAATGATTTGAAATCGACTCAGATAAGACTGCAAGAGAATCTTGAAGCCGAGACACGTCTCAAAGAGCTCAGTTTGGCCAAGGCGAAAGAACAGGATAAACTGCTAGCTCAAGTGAGGGGTGCTTCCTCGAGGAGGACTGCTGAGGTTGTGAAGCTGTTGGACGGTTCAAAGCACCGAGTTGAGAAGTACATCTTTGACAAAGTATGGGATCTACTAAAAAACATCGACAGCCAGGAGAAGAGGGAGATAGCATTCAAGACAATAGTCACGTTCCTCGGTTTGGTACTCGAGGATGTGGACGCTATTATCCAGGACGGCGGCGAGATCAAGGTCCTCATAGCGGAACTTACGGAATTATTCAGTGAAGCTGCGACTCCTTCCACCGAGAGGTTTGCCAAGGCTTTCATCGAATTTAGTCAGCAGAGCGTAGAGGGGCTGCAGCCGGAGGATAAGCAGAAGGCCACAGAGTAAGCCTAAGCGGATCTCCTCGCAATGGCAAGAAAAGGTCTCAATTTTGCAGCTGGATAGCTTCATGGTACGAGACCGTTCAGAGAGTTTCTTTGGCTCCCATGAGGGTGTGACGAGGGCAGGGTTACTGGGCTTAGAACTTGGGGTTCAATCTTTCATAAACTACTTTAGGATATTGAAGGTCTTTGGTTTTCGTCAAGGCCCTAAGGGACCAGACGTCTCTATAAATACAACAAGTCAGTGAGCCCTAGTAGCCCGAGGCAGCCCTCGCCAAGGTCCGACTCTGGGCTCTCGTGATACCTTTCTTTGTTGTGTAACCTTTGTTATCCGATACCTTTGTCCAGGTCTTGACCGTGTGACAGAGTGTATCCCTACTCGGTCCAATAGCAGATGTACTATACAAGTAGAAGACTGAGGTGTTGTGACAAGGGCTCATTAGAGGGCTTGAAGCAAATGGGCTCAATTCAATGATAATCTTGTAGGATGTCAAAGGTCCTTGGTTCCTCCAAACCAGAAGGCGAGGGGAGACCATCTTATATACATGAAAGGAACGGCCCGTGCCTAGTGTGCCCCATAGTTCTCGTGATCTCCTTGTGTAACAAAGGGCTTCTAATCCTTGCTTGACCTAATCCGTGTGACAAAAGGAACAGCTGTGTCTAAGGCTCCCAGCGGGTCATGTGTTCAGTCTGTGTAACCTCCAGGTCCTGTATCGGCGATGCCCCTTTGTTGGGCGGTGAGATTATTGAGCTTTGACTGTGTGACAGAAAGTGATGAGTAAAACTCCCAAAACATGTTTGCCAAGGGCAGGGTAGCTGGGCTTGGAATAAAGGGTTCAATTTAATGTCAATAATCGACTTTCAGTTTCTCAGTTTTCCACGAGGCCTTGAGGCAAAACTATAAAAGCCTCGTCAATTACTAGCTTAGTTACTGTTGATTACCTAGCTCATTTTATAAAATTCAATTGAGATATGGCCTGCTACCCAAGTTGCGGCAAACCCCTTTTCGCACAGGAGCTATTGTACGCGGTTACTGTGACAAGGGCTCGTTATAGGGCTTGGAGCAATTCAGCTCAATTCATCTGATAACAGTCTTTGGTATCAAAAGTCCTTGGTTTTCCTCAAGACCTCGTTGACCAAAGACCTCTTTGAATACAAGAAGTCGGTGAGAGACTTTGCCCTAGGTCTCGTGACCGTAGCCCTTGTGTAACCTTTGACATTGGGCCATTTCCGTGTAACAGTTACCTTGTTCTGTATTTTTGTCAGGACCATAGATAGAGAGGGAACCAAAAGGTCACATTTGAGCTGGATACTTGTCGACGGAATATAAGGGGGTATAGTTGCTGTTCAGCTAGAGCGCGTTCTTTTGATAACCATATCGTGGGTATTCGGCCAAGGGCCGCAATCACTGGATATTTTGCTCCATGGCTCAACGACCAAATGAACGGTCCTCTGGGCTCTTTGTCATACAATCCGGCGACATGTAAAAAGCGTACCAGAAAATAAGATTCCAACACAGGGTCTAGCAGAAAATATACATCATCCCTTATTATTACATTACCCCAAGCACTACGGCCAGAGTAATTACTCATATATTACACACAGATTTACCGAACTCGTTTACTCAAACAACATTTGCTCATCCTCCTTCTCAAAAACGGAAAAAGACCCTCACTTATCTACACAAGGAAAGCGGCCAGCCCAGCGACAGCAGCCGCAAGGCTATATCCATTCACGGCAGCAGCAGCAGTCGGCACTGCCGAACCAGTTCCGCTTGGCACGGTCGTTCCAGAGGCGGTGCCGGTCGCACTCGTATTC